GATGTGACTCCACAATTTCTTAACTGTATTTTTACAGGCATGTATGTGTGTTGTCTTAAGGGATAGCCAGATACTTTGATATAAAGCTGGCATCAGTTCTTGTTCCTTACGTAAATATCTGTATTTAAAAACAAATATGAAATACGATCACTCACTCATTATGTATAGTAGGGGCGGAGTGAAAAGTTCTCAGCCAGCCGGAAGAAATAGCTAACAACAAAAATAAATAAATTTTACAGGTGAACACTGGTAAAGATTTTTATCAAGATCATTTCGTATTTGTAAAGCACACTGGGTCGGGGTTCTAGTTTGTCTAAGGGTCTTCCGAAAGCAATAAATGGCATTAGATTTCTAGTTAGACATCTAGAGAATAAACATGTAATTCATTTTAGGTGAGTTTTTAATCTTTCTTATGTCAGTAATTTTCTATTTAATTTTCTTTTTTTTCTTATTTAATTCTGGTGACACTTTTGAAAAGCAAACAAGAATATGCAAGATTTTTTTTTTTTTTTACCAAAAACTCGACTTTGATTTCATTCAGGATAAAAGCCAGAAAATAGATGGCGATCATAGTGAAGGAAGACATTGGGAAATGGATGATCCCAAAAAATCTAGTCGTACAAAAAATAAATTTTATATGGAATATCCCTAAACGAATTTTCAACCAAGTAATTCAAAATAATCTTGCTGGTGTAGCGATAGGGGTACCATTATTGTTTATTCCTGACGGAATCACCAAATATGTAGCGGTTGTATTACCATTGTTGTTGTGAACGTCGCGGTCATCATTATTGTAGTGATTGAGTTACCAATATTTAACTTTGGCTAAGAAAGATGAGATTCAGGACAATGCGTGAAAGCAATGCAATTTACACTTGACGTAAATAGCACATAGAATAAAATACAAAACTGAACGGAATGATTTCAGAGTTCGTGAATGTTGGTAATTGTCTTTAACATCTGGCCAGCAATGACTAAGACGGGAGTTCCTGAAGGTTACGTCTTGGCACTTGGTAGCAAGGAATGAGACGTGCAAGAGAGATGAATGGAAAACTACTCAAAGAGTTCACATGTGTTCAGTTTATATAATGGTCGTGTGGCTCCCAGCACATGAGCGGGGGAAAACAGATTGGTCGCGTGCAGGCGGTTTGATTGGTCGGAACTGACCAATCAGCAAGCTAGATTGGAGGTGATTGACCAATGAATACTTGTTGTATTTGTATGAAAGTAGGATGTTACTTACCAGATAGGAAGAGTGCATTTCCTAAAAAGAGGTAAGGCTGGTTTGTTGTGGAAGATCCCACACTGGTATTATACAAAAAAAAAAAAAAAAGTTCATAGAAAAAGTTTTTAGGAAACACTTCCAATGTGTAATCATTCATGGTTAATTTTTATTTTCAAATTATTCTTATCCATGCATTTCCACCTAAGCTAACGGGTGTCTTAGGACAGGGTAATGGTCAGTAAGTTTTTAAAAATATTGCTATCATAGTACATACAAATACCAAAGACATGTGAAAATGGCTAAAAGCTTTACTGGACTAAACTGACAGACAGATTTTTTTTTGTTTTTGTTTTTTTATGGCTTAACCATTAGCAGATTATTTAAAGCCAGAAAATGTTTTAGATTGTAAGATTTTTTTTTTTTTTTTTACAGATACAAGTCCTACTAATTAACCAATAGTTGGAGGGAGAATAGGTGCATTCCTTTCTCGAGAATATTTGCATCTAAGTTAATATAACAAACCTAAGTGGAATTGGAACTCTGGTCTCTAACTTCCAATTCCAAGCTGTTATCCATTACACCACCCATACATCCAGGTACAATATTGCTTAACTTTGGTGATTGTACAATAACTGGTGTTTCAACATGATATAGCTATAAGCCTAATTGTAAGCCTTATCAACTTTTGCTAGTTATGAATCTGAAAATATTTTTAGATTGTAAGAATTTTTTATTTTTTTTGATATGATAATGACTTAAATGTTACAAGTCATACTCATGCACAAACAAAGACAACTAACAGGACAGAAGACATGCTCGTCAACAGGCTGCCTAATTAACCCATAACTAGAAGGAGAGGTGGTGGATTTGTTGCAGATGTGTGATTGTGTGTTGGAGAGGAATAGAAGGTTTGAATTATCAGAAGGTTTAAAATCGTGTGTTCAATAATCTTCCATCCACAACAATTAATACAAGATAGAGAATAAAGATTCATAAACATCTTGTTTCAAAACGTAACAATTGAATTTATTAGTGTTTGGTGTACAAGCATAAGAGCTGAAGGTGTGATAGAGTTATGTCTCTTAGATTTGGAAATATTTGTATTTGAGCTCATAAAGTGAAAGTAATTATTAAACTGTAGTTTAGAAGAATAAAGTTCCTTTAGCATGTTTGGAATTGTGAGTTGTAAAGTTGGTAAAAGTTCAGAAGAGATTTCAGAGTTCATATTTGCGTGAATGTTGGTAATGGTCTTTAACGTCTGACTGCATTAGTTAAGACAGGAGTTCTTGAAGATTACATCTTGGCAGCAAGGAATGGGACACAAGAGAGAGAGAGAGAGAGTTTACTCGTGTTTTGTTTTTATAATTTCGTGGTACCACATGGGAGGCTCAGAACGAAAACACGGGAAATTTCATTCCTCACGTGCAGGATATCTGATTGGTCAGTTCTGACCAATCAGCGAGCTAAACTGAAGGTGATTAACCAATGAATGCTTGTTATATATTTTGTAAGATGGTGGTGGTGAAAGTTACAACAGGAATAGTGCATTTCCTAGCAAGAGTGACTGGCTGACATGGAAGATTCCACAGATTTATCTTTCCCAATGGTGAATATAATGAATCCAACTGGAATAGGAACTCAGCGCTCTGATTTCCAATCCCAAGCCATTATCATTACACCACAAATCAAATAAAAGTTTCTAGAAAAACAACTAATGAACAAATTCCTCAGTGCTAAATAGGCATTTTTAATTCAAAACATAAATAAAATGCAGCACTCTTTCTACAAGGCTTACAGCCATATTACCTTGAACCACCAGTTCCTGTACAATCACTGAAGTTAATCAATGTGAAGCCTGGTTAGTACCGAGAGAGGTGACTGCTTGGGAATACCAGTTGTGGTAAGCTTGGATGTGCAGGTGGTATACTGGATAATGGCTCGGAATTGTTAATCAGAGAGAAGAGTTCCAATTCCAGTTGGGTTCGTTATATCCATTCACTTACATGCAAATACCCTAGGGAAAAGTATGAATCCATCTCTCTCCCCCCCCACCTAGCTATGGGTTAATTAGTAGGAATTGTATCAGTAAATCATTATCTTCAAAAAGTTGTAAAATCTAAAAATATTTTATGGCTTTAAATAACCTGCAAAAGGGGTGATAAGACATAAGAAACAAATCAATCAACTTTTGCATATTAGCTTAATACGGTAATTTTTTTATTTACATTATTTACAGTCAGATTAATGTTCTCATCTTTATTGTTGTTATCACAGACTAGTAATTGTGAGTTCAATTGTTGGGCCAAGTAGTACAGATTTAGATATTTGAAAATAGGACAAACAGTTCTAAATAAGAACAGAATGAAATATCCCAAGTCATGATCAGTGGAACAAGAACAATCTATCCCCATAGAGTAAAGGGTTGGTTTCAAAATTCCCTGAAAGTGACCTTGATTGATAATCACCTGAAAAGGACTAAAAGGCATTGTGATGAAACATTATGATGGCAACAAAGAGGATCATATATAATATTATATATATATATATATATATATATATATATATATATACTAGCAGTATGGCCCGGTGTTGCCTGTGCTTGATTCAAAAATCGTACGATTCATACAGCAATCGCTATCACTTAACTTAAAATATTTTTGCCCTTCCTTGCCTTTAAAGGAGTGCCCTTTGCTGTGCTGATGTTGCTACATGCCTTACTTCTTGCCTATCGCACACTGCAAATTTTTTCTAAGCTCTATTCTAAACATTAAATCTGTTACGAAAAAAGAAGTAAACAAAATGAACACAAAACGATCAGCTTTAAAAAAAGGACTCGTAACTGGAAAAAGCGAATGAAAAAAGAATGTTAACAACAAATACTTTTTCACACCCAACCCAGTTCTGTGGAATCAGAATCAACGTTGAGTTTAAGCAAGCGAATGAGCCAATTGGAGTAAAGTGCCATGCACTTGGGAAAGGGTATGAATTCACCTCTTCTCCACCCCCACCCACAGCTATGAGTTAATTATTAATACTTGTATCACTAAAATTAATATCCCTCCCCAAAGATAAAAGTAAATAAATAAAACAAAATTACATCCAAAAGATTTAGATTTCAGCATTAAATAATCTACAGAGGTAGATATGCCACAAAAAAAAAAAAAAAAAAATCCAAAAACACAACAAACCAATGTTTCTACATTTACTATTATTGATCTAAAACTTAAAGTAGGGCTCAAGGATAATGGTTTTTATACCATCATCAGAAAACCATTCCATAAAAAACAACTTTAATTTTTCTGAAAATTTTTTAAACTGTCTCAAAATCAAATGTTTTTAAATATAGTTTTGAAGGTAAATAAATATATATTTTTTTTATATACATCATTTATAAGGGATTTAAAATCAGGAAAATATTATCTTTAATAACCTTTTACTGTGTTTTACTTATAAAATCTATAACTGGAAAAAAAAAATGATTGATTAATCAAAAACAATAACAGAAAAATATCACAAAATCTTTCATAAAACCCTGTCATAATTTTTTTCATTCAAATCAGTTTTACATGATTTATATAATTTCTTACAATACTGTGTGTTTACTGCTCTGGGGTGATTTTTTATCATTTAAAAAAAATTCTTCACATACTTAAGAGATATCAAATAATATGTTCTCAAAAAATTTTTGTTGGCACATGTAAAACTTTTGTGTCAGGTTTGGCATGCACTCTCAAAAAGTTGCCCACCACTGGATTACACCATCTGCACATCCCACCTTGCAGCACCTGATATTCCCAAGCAGTCACCCATCTAGGTACTGACCAGACACAAAGCTGCTTAACTCTGGTGATCACTTGGGAATTGGTATTGTAGTGATTGGGTAAGCATCCTTCTTGGGGGAAAATAGTGATTTCCCACCCACCGCATTGTTTTTTCAATTCAGAGTTTTCCTTCTCTTAAAGTGGTTGTTCAAAACAAGAAAGTCCAGTTTAAAGATGCTATTTAACCCATAATTGGAAAGAGAAGAGATGGATTCATGCCTTTCCAATGAGTATTTATGTTGTATTTGAATGCATCAGAATGTGGAATTGCCAAGCTGAGTTCAATATCCATATTGAACTCAGCTTGGCAATTCCACATTCCGCACTGATCTCTGTTACACTACCTACACATCCCTTATAGTATACACAATTCAAATTTTAAAATTTATTTTTATTTTTGGAAAGCAGATAGAAAAGACATGACTTCAAGAGAGAAACAAAATCTAAAATTGATGGATTCTGCCAATTTCATAAAATATAGTTCACCTTTAGAATTACGGTTCGAAGACTAAATTAACAGTTTCAAGTTATATTGAGCCAGTAATCTGTCATCTCAGACAAGAATCTTGGATAATTGCTTTTATATGTGGCATAAAAGTAGTAAATAAGTAACTTAATGGAAGACTGATCTATTCATCACTTTTTGAAAGAGTTTTTTTAGATTTCATATTTTTATATCTTATTCCTTAGAATAAAATCTACATATATCTTTTTTCTCATAAACTTTCAAATATAAAATAAACTTACAAAGAAAATTGTATAAAAAAAAAAAAAAAAAAAAAAAAAAAAGGGAAAGTAAAATGAAAATAATGACAAAATATCAGAACAGATATTATGCAAAATTGTTTAAAATTTATGAAGGAGGAATGCTTAGTTGCATTTGTTGATACAAACAGTATGGACATCGAAATGACCAATGTATGGTGACTGGCAGTTTGACACCTAAACTGATCTTCAATTTAAGTATTGCATTAATATTTAAGCTTACCATTTAAAAGGTAAACCATAATTCTGCCACCACTTATTTTAAAGACAATTTGATGTATGTAGTTCCTTATTTTCCGTACAAACAACTATTTTTATTTTATCCTTTCACTGTATTTCACAATTAATTTCATTTATTTACAAATTATAAAAATTGTCATCACAAAATAAATGGACTGCAAAAAAAAATCACTGAAAACAATCGCAGTAATGAAAACTTGGGAATCCAAAATTTCCAGATCTGGCGTGGAATTTTTCAATTTGCTCATGGAGTCAGCCTGATTCCAAAATGGTATATATTGATGTACAATCTCTAGGAGTAAAGTCAAAAAAAGTGTGACACATTGACATTCACGCATTATATATATATATATATATATTTTACACACACAACAAGGTGCTGAAATATTCTTAGTCCTACCAAGAGACCTTTAAAAGATTCCTACAGGAAGCAAAAGTTTTTTTTTTCAATCCCCACCCAATGTATGTAATGTATATATGCGTGTTTATTTCTCTAGTAATATTTATAAACAAGACATCAGAATGTTTCTTTAACATTCGAAACTGTAATTGCTTATATATCCAGTTTTAACCTACATAAAGCAAATCTTCTGGGACAGTGAGATGAGGGGAGGTGTACATCATTAACTAACCATCACCCCTTAGAAAATAATTATGCTTTCAAGTGAACACAATTGAAGAGAGAGAGAGACAAAACCTATTTACATTTTTATCACAAAAAAATTTTTTTCCAATGATTTTTTTTTTTTTTTTAACTCAGCATGAATAAATAGGTTTCAACTGTTTTCCTCCACCAGCTCTCTTTTGATTTATTCAATCTACAGAGGTAAACTTTATATTATGCTGTCCATATTAGTGGAGGGGGATGTCATTTATTTTTTTGTTCTTTTTTTTTTTAGATTCACTTGAACATCTTACTTATTATATAACACAGAATGTGTGTGTGTGTGTGTGTGTGTGTGTCTGTACGTTTATATATTGGATCGGATTTCCTACATTTTTCAACCGATTTCAACAAAACTTCACAGGACTACGTAAAATTACCTTGCGGTGGTTGAGTGCCAAAAATTGGAAAACACAATTGTTTCTGCACAAAATCAATTTGAAAACACGATAAAACACGATTCTGTCGCCAGAATGAAAGCGGGGAAAACTCATATCGAGTTATACTTATTATAAAACCCAGGTTGTGTGTGTGTGTGTGTGTGTGTGTGTTCATTTATATATGGGATCAGATTTCCTACATTTTTCAACTGATTTCAACAAAACTTCACTTTTTTTTGGCAGGTAGTGTTTCTTATTGTCTTGCACACTTTTTTCTTTATTTTTACATTCAGAATGCTTTAAAAATTCCCTTTACAAGACAATTGTTTATAATAAAATTCTATTCAATCGATAGACTCATAATGATTGAAAATGTTTTTGTTCGAGTTTGACCAATGCGTAAAATAAAAAACCCAAAAAAAAACCTAATTAATTAAGACATGCATGTCTGTCAACCTTAAACAATAATCTTTGTCAATTTTATTTTTCAGTCTTCATGATGGTCGATACTTGATCTATCTCTTACTGTTACATCCCCAGACAACGCCGGGCTCTACTGCTAGTCATGGATAAACCTAACACTAACTCAAAGACACATAGGAATAGCAGAAAGATGTTCTCCAGAAACTCAGGAAAGTATTAAGACACAGGAAAATTTTGTTTAAAAGGAAAAAAAAAAACAAAAGAAAAAAAATGATGAACTTGTCATAGTCAATCTTGTATATGACAGTAAATGCTGGAAATGATTGCTTGATTTTTTTTCTTACAACTTATCAACCCACTGTAGGCTATTTAAAACTAAAACATATTTTAAATTGTCAGAATAATTAGCTTTTGCAAGTGAATATTGGATTAACAATTGTTTGAGAATAATACTGAATTTTCTAGACAAGTCCAACTAGGTAGCACATAACAAATCTGCCTTGAATTCGATCTCGGCCAGAAATAAAATACTATTAACCTGAGCAAAATATTGTAAAACAGATTGATACCAAAAGAACCAAACCTCACCCCCAACTCCTTTCTCACAGGGTAAGCTGGTAGAGAAATGATAAATGACCTTTGAAAAGAGCCACATAGTCCAAGACAGATATAAATATAAAACTTTTTTTTTTGGAAAAGTATATTTTCTTTGTAAGACAAATATCTTTCTGAACATTGAAGCTGAGAAGAGGAAAAAAAAATCATTTCGAAATGACATTATGGTGCCAAATAAAACATGCTTCTAAGATAATGTTTGATTGATAATTAAAAAAGAGAAAGAACAAATCAGCCATTTATCTTGGCTGTCAACCTACAATCATGTGAAATTTGGCAGACACTAGCAAAATTTGGCATAAGCAATAAAGGTATTTCTGTTTTCAAATTGTAAAGTACATTTAAATCCTTAGGTTGAAAGTTGATTTGGGGTTAACTCCTTTTTTAAAAAATTGTTTAATGGATGAATTTGAGAATTCATATGTAAAGATTATTTGATTAGTTGTTTTATTTTTAATTGCTTTTTTTGCAAGTAAATATTTCATTAACAATTTATTTGGGAGATAATGGTATTTAATATTAATTAAGTGATCTGAACTCAAGGAAAGATCAAATGTTTTTTCGTAGCTTCACCAATTCAGCATTGATCAGGGTCTCTAGTAGTTTACCCCCCAAAAAAGTAGAAGGCTGACAGTTGGAAGGGTTAGATGGTTCACCAGAGTTCTTAAAGACTGAAACAACAAATAAAGATTTCAAACAAGCAGGAAAGCAAGAACCAGCAAGACATTTATCATACAGTTTAGAGAGAACAGGAGTCAGTTCAGGAGCACATTTCTTCAGAACTATTACAGGGATATCATCAGGTTCATATGCTTTGTGGTGACCTAGATTAGAGATGATAGTAGAAACCATGGAAGGGGTTATATGCATATCACTCAACATAAACTCGGTTCTAAGTGGGAAGTCTGGCAAGGATTCTCCAGATGGATAAAAAGTAGAGTTTAAAGAGAATTTATAGACAAACATTCTGCTTTATCAGCAGAATGTTTTGCCCATAACACCTCAAATTAATTGAAGATAGGAGAAATAGAAAATTTATTCTTATTTAATGCTTTTTGAATCTCATATTTCCAAGATATCCAACACCACCTCCCTCCATTTTGAGCAGCTCAATAGACTTCTTCATATTTAAAAAAAAAAAAAAAAAAAAAATCTGTGTGGGCTGAAGATGATGATTGTTAGTTACAATCAGAGGAGTTGTATATAGGAATATTAAGAAAAAATATGTTGGAAGGGAAATTGCATGTTAATGGAACTTCAACTATTGCCAAGTTCAAAACAAATTTGTTTTCATAAAAGCAATTACCAACCTGATCCTCCTTACTAATGGGATATACCTCATAACAGTGGTATGGTTGCTTACTGGTGTCAAGTAATGCCTCCTATGCATGTGCAGGTGGCGTAATGATTAACAGTTAGAAACAAGAAATTGGCAAGCCGAGTTCAAGTTCCGGTCGAGTTTGTTACATTCACTTTTACACAAATCAACTTCTTCCTTCAGCTATGGGTTAGATAGCAGGGTAGACTGCTCTCTAGCCATGGTTGGTAACCAGTGTAGGAAAATAACTCTGAATTAAAAATCATATGTAGCTCTGGTGAAGTACATACCTTGTAGACATGGAAAAGATCAGAGATCCTAGTGACACAATAATCTTGAAGGTGGTAAATCTGATAGATATAAATAGATAGAATGCCTCCTACTCTCATAAAATCTGAATATCTCATTACCTCAAGTAAAATAAATATGCATAACCAATAAATATATAAAATTACATTGTATTTCATATTACAGAATAGAATCAAGTTAAAAGTTACACATCGTATTAAAGAACATTTTTACATTACAATAACAAATATGAATGCAGGTCATTACTTAAAGAAGTAAAGGGATACAAATGAAAGCAGACATTAAACACATATCTTCTTTCATTTTCTTACTGAAACCAAACAGTGTTTTTTATGTATGTTT